CAACAATGGGTTTCAGCCAGCAGACCGTGAAGATGGTACAGGACTGGAACTAGGAGTCAGTGTTAATTCAACAGCATCTCACAACATCTTGACTTTTATAATGGAGGCAAAGAGATCATATTAACTCACTTAATGCTAAGAGAGTTGTAGGGCTGCCTGCAAATCGATACCTGTCCAAGATCTGGCTGGAAGAGGCCTGAATGCCCAATCAGACAGTTCCCAGCAGCCCCTGTGATTAGCAGAGGCCATGTGACTTAAGTACTTTGTAAAGTCACATGCCCTTCTTCCATCTGAGGCTGAACTGAGAATTAGCAGCTGGCAAGGCAGCTTATAACGATGCATGCAACATCAACCACCACCCCTGAGCACAGGGCTAAGGAAACAAAAATCGGAGCTTCCAACCAGTTAATGAGTTACTGGAGCTCATCTCCTCTACACCGTTCACCACCTTTAACTTGTACAAGAGAGCAATCAATTTTATTTGACCCACTTTATTTCCAAGTCTTCTGCTACCTCAACTTAGCCAGTATTCTAACCAGTAATGGTAGTAAAGACCACTGAAGGGCTGTACCTTCCATCTCTTCTACTGGAGTTACTATTCAAACAGAACTCTCAAGCATTTAAAATGTAGCCTAGTTCACATTAAAAATTACTGGCTGAACGTCCACAGATTAACATAGAAATTTAAGGCAGTAATCCAATGTAAACCCAGTAAGAATTTTCAAGATACATCACAAGCTGAAGTTTAAATTTATAAGAAAGAGTAAAGGTCTGAAAGGAAAAATTTTACCAGGACACAGTGGAATTTTGCCTTATATCAAAACATACTATAAAACACCATCTAAATCTGAGAGTGGTATTAATACAAAATTAGACAAATAAACGAAACAGATTTCTGAAACAGACCTAGATATATACAGAAATAAGCAAAGTCAAAATTGGGGGGAAAATAGACTAAATTGACAATTTAAAATTTCCATAAACAACACACTCCATTTTAAAAAATTAAGACTAGCAATAAACTAGAAGAAAATACTTACATACAATTGATGGTTAGTATACAAATTGTATATATTAAGTGCTAAATTAATATAAAAATTACTCAATTGAAAAAACCAGTATAGGATACAAATAGGAAATTTACAGAGGAGGAATTACAAATAACCAATAAACATACTTAACCTTACAATTTATCAAGGAAACACACATTAAAATGAAGTTTTAATTTTTCACCCATCCAGTTGACCAAAATTTCAGTGTGGTAATATCAAATGCTGACAGAGAAAAAAGTAATTCTTGAACTACTGGTAGGAGTAGAAGTTAGTTTAGCCGCTTTGGAGGACAATTTTGTTTTTACAATTAAAAAATGCACAGAACCTATGACCCAGTAATTGTGTCTTAGCATCTACCTTTGAAAAACTCACATGATATGCAAAGACTTATGTTTATCACACGATCATTACTTATTTTAAGAACTAGAAGTAACCTCATGACCAACAACAGAAAAATGGTCAAAGTCATTCACTGGTCTCTAAAAAGTTGTAAACTAGAATAAAAAATTTAAAAAAAAAATTCACCCAAAAAACAAAGCCAACAAACCCAAACCACCCAACTTTCACTGTCCTCAAATTAATTTCAACTCAGAGAGACCTTGTGGGGCAAAACAGAAAGGCCCTGGACGGTGTCCAAGATTGTACAACAGACCACCTCATCCTTCCCCTGCTGGGTTCAAATAATCTACCTTTTGGTTAAAGCTTTAACTACAGTGTAACCACAACAGAGTACTGTTATAGTACTGTCTTCATAGATCTTATGAAAAATACTGTAAACACATTGATATATCTGTCATGCTTTCAACCAAGAGTTTTAAAGAGATCTTGCAAAAGGATAAACATTTTTAAAAGTGGGGGAAAACTGTCACTTGACCTTTTTTAGAAAGGTAAAAAAATTTAAAAAGCAGCATTTGTAAACCTATTTCCCATTTCTACTCAGGGTTATTTTTTTTCCCCTCTCCCCAGAAACTGTCCATGAGTCAATGATCTGTGATAGGCAGAATGGAGTATCACATACATATATGATTTTCAGTAGTTACCAGGGACAAGATAATTGTTCCAAGATAGGTTTTAAGCACATATCTTTGAAGCAAAGTCAATTTGGAAAAATCACCCCCATAAGGTACTGAATTAAGTGCCCTAATTTAAGTACAATTTGCCAGAGGCATGCCACCTGGAAGAACATTCTGCCTTTCATTAGAAAGAAAATAAAAATAAGCAGCACTTAGGAAAATGGTAACATAATAAAATTAGATGTTATGAAGGCCGATGAGTAACTGGGTCTTGAAACACTTCCACTAAGAAAGGTAAACAATCCTAGCTCACATATGTGAGAGAAAAGACCAAGAATAGTAACTGCACATAGTCTGAGAAGCTAGTGAGCAGAAATAAGTCCAGCCACATGTTCAGGTTGATGACCTGAGTGAGGGAAAAGTTGGAGGCAGATCAGAAGCCAGCTGCCTCACTGCCAGCCTCTGAGCATCACTTGTTGATTCCGAATTAGTGCTTCTCTCCCATGAACAGAGGGTAAGAAGCTGCCTGGCTTCTAGCAGGCACCCTAGACTCAACGTTGGCAGCACTCTGTGACACCCTTCTTCACAGGATGACTGTCACCATAGTTCCAGGGGATGGGGCATCCAAGGGCCCCTCTGCACTCCAGTGGGTCAGTGGCGAGGATTTTCTGCACTTGCCATGCTGGCTGGGCATCCTCTTACTGTTGTGCCATCAGGCCGGCCTCATCTTACACAGATGCTTGTCACAGAACGAACCCCTGCCTGGTCCTGCTCCAGTGCAGTCACCCACAGCGAGCAGGGGCTCTGCACATACCCGTCGACACAGCCGTGTGGGGAAGACTGGTTAGAAGCAGCTATTTTCAGTGACAAAAATCAGTGCTTTCATGTTCATCAAACCTGCAAATATGTAAATTCTCACTAAGACCCATCACTGCAGAAGTAAAATAATTTGAGAAAAGAAGCTATTTGTCATTTTCTAATGAAATTTTTTTTTAAAATCAGGAATGGTTTCTTCTTGTCCTTCTGAAATGAAATATAGTACTTAGTACTTCTCAGATAAAACCTATATAAATGAAACAACCAACAACAACAGATAAACATTTTAATTGATTAAATATATTATTCCAAGATCTTTTTGAAATGTATTTGTACTATACTAGTCAACAGCCAAAGGCAATAAAAAAATCCAAAACCAAAAGTGTTCTGATATGACGTGTGACAGGAACGGCTGTAACAGCATAAAGTAACACACTGCTCCCAAGAACAATGACAGTTTTAGAAGATAATTCATCTGAACATGTGTAAGGACAAACTTGGTAATCAAAGCCTTAAAGAAATAGATATATTAGTGCCTACTTTTTTAAAGTTTACTTTACATTTTAAATACAATAGTCTCCTCATTTTTTTAAAAAAAACCAAACCAAACCAAAACAGAAAACGTTCAAATCCAGACATTCTGGATGTAACAGCATGGACACATATGAGCTGGGAATACTCCTGAATCCAAATTTAAAAACACAAATTAAGCACTGCTCAGGAGAAGGAAAAAAAAATTCCAATTTCTGACCAATCAAACAGAAAGTTAGATATGCATACACCAGGTATTGGAAACAGAAGGAAATGCAGTAGACGAGAGCCCCAGACAGCTCCTGGGACAATGAACTGGACATGCTATGGTTCAGCCACAGAGGCTCCTCTGCAGCAAGTGAGCGGAGCTTAAATTCAAAATCTACCCAATAACAACAGAAAAGAACAACGTTATGTGTATATTGCCAGTTTTGTGATTTTCTATCTATGCCACACTCCCTTCTGAAAGAACCATCTCTAGACTAGTCAGTCATTTATACATTTGACAGGCAATGAATTCATGTATTTTCAGTGAGGAAATTAAAGGTGCACTTCTTCCCATCAATAGACACAATACAGATTAGAGCTACAGCATTTAAACCATGTGCACATGTACTTCCAATTCTCTCTAGTAATTCCAAAGTGGAATGGTGGTGATGTGCCTCTGTGTGGTAACAAAAAGAAAATTAATTTGTCTGGCAGTGATTTCCTTATTAGTGCAATTTACTCCCCATCACTAAATTATATTAAAATGATCTCAAATAGTAAATTCAGTAGATGCCAATGTAACTTTACAAAACCCCCAGATTATGGTTGTGCAGAAAACAGTTTCAATTTGAGATGACCTACAGAGCCAAATCAAGATTTAATTTTGTTTCGCTACCGGGGGTCCGGAAAACAGAAGCAGGCGGGCGCCCGAGGGATGTGGAGGCCCGGGGAGAAGGGTGTTGGAGGTGTTCTAGGTATCTTGGTATCTCAGTTGTCAGCTAGGCTGGAATATTCTAGGTTAAGATTATCTTAGAAAATAATTCTCTAATATATCTCTGAACTAAATAGGTACATCGAAAGCAAAACCAATCTGGGCTATTCAGATTGAGACAACTTATTCTTGTACAATCAGTGAGGTCTTGAGTTTTTAAGGTTTTAAAAATGGTGACCTTCAGTCAAAGCCAGCTGCATCTCGTGTAGCCTAACGTGGGCCTTCCAATAAAGAGGGCAGTGTGAACACGGGCTCTCAGAACACACATGACAGGCAGCAGTGGGCAAGCCATCAGTCAAGTGGGGGCAGCGCTGGGATGTTTTATTTTGGAAGCTGTAGAGATTTAACAGGCAGATCATGTAACTTCCGCATCCAAGAGACTCCACTGGTCTGCGCTCAGCGGCAGGACGAGTCCCAGATCCCTTTACTCCAAGTAGGACTGTTAAAGGGCCTCAGGAAATCCTGGTTCCCAAAGAGAGTTCACAAAGCATCAGACCAACGTCAACAAACACAGACTCCAAGGCTCGACAAAGATCAAAAGAAATCTCCAAATCAGACGTCAGGGCCACCTCCACCCGACCTGGGCCGCCAGGCTCAGTCCCAACATCTTTATCTGGTATAGTAGACTCTGTAGTAGACTGACTTGGACCTCCACAGTGAATAGGAGTTGTCGAACTTGAGGAGGTATACCCCTCGGCCCGGGTACTGGTGGCTGCCAGCGTATACCTCCTCGTGGCAGTCCCGTCGGTACACAGGCACAATCTCATCCAGCACGGGCTTGCTGGCGTTCTTTTTGGCTTTCTCTTCATTACTGATAGTTTCTGGGAGAAAGAACAGGAGAGAAGTCAGGGGAAAGATCCAGGATGTTCATCCTTAAGCAAGCAATTCCATTCCATTCCATCCATTCTCTGGGAAGCTCTCTTTCAGGAATTCTTTTGATCTGTTTTGCCACACTCATACACCTGTCCATGCACACGCTCACTGGCAGATCTGAGCATCTGGAAGCATCAAGCACTGTGCTGGGAACAGCTGGCTGGGTTACCAGTCAGAGTTCTCACCTATTCTGGGCTGTGACCACCGTTCCTTTTTCTGGGTCCACTCTACTGCCCCCATACCCATTTAATTCCTAACTGTTTCCAAGAGGAGTAAGTCCAAACAAAATGTTGCTCTGACACTCCCTCTTTTCAACAATGTAGAAGTCCTCCTTGTTTTTCAAATTGAACACACCTGTGTAAGTAACTTGCACAAGAAACCAACATGTGTAAAAATGCAGTATATACGTGACATGTAGAGAATAAAAGGAGGAAATCACAGGCGAGGGAGACATTCAGAGGCATCCTGAAAGCGAAACTGTTTACCCTAGCAGCTAGAGATGACCAAGTAGGAAAAGAGAGCTCAAACTCTAAATTTGCCATATGGTCTTCTGAATTGAAATGATTATGAGAGGGAAATACATGTAGGAATCTATGAGAAAATTATGGAAAAGTTTACACCCTGTGTTATGCAGATGACACACTACCTTGTCTGCTAAAAGTGAGGAGGATTTGAAGCACTTGTAGAGGATAAAGGAATGCAGCCTTCTGTGTGGACTGCATCTCAATATCAAGAAAACAAAGATTCTTACCACTGGACCAATAGACAACATCATGATGGATAGAGAAGAGACGGAAATTGTCAACAGCTTCATCCTGCTTGGATCCACTTTGACACCCTTGGTTCCAGCATTCAGGAAATAAGGAGATGCACTGCACTGGGGAAATCTGCAGTTAGGGACCTCTCTAAATTATTGAGTAATGATATCAGTTTGAGGACTAAGGTGTATCTGATTCAGGCCATAGTCTTTCCAATCACTTGCTCTGCATATAAGAGCTGGACAATGAATAAGGATGACAGAAGAATTGATACCTTTGAGTAATAGTGTTGGAGAAGAGCATTGAACATCCCATGGATAGCCAAGAAAACGGACAGCTATGTCTTGGGAGAGCGTGCAGCCAAAGTGCTCTTTGTAGGCAAGGATGATGAGGCTTCACCTCACATACTTTGGATATGTTGCTAGGAGGGGCTATTCATTAGAGAGGGACATGATCTATTCATTAGAGAGGGACATGATACTGGGAAGGGTGGAAGTCAATGACGAAGGTGAGGAAGACCTTTAACCAGGTAGATTGACACAGTGACAGCTGCAATGGTCTCTTGTGTGTCAGGAAGTGTGAGGATGGCACAGGACAGGATAGAATTCAGATATGTTGATCACAGGCTTGCTATGAGTCATACTCAACTTGACAGCACCTAATAACAACAACAACAACAACAACAATGTAAATATAAGCAACCTCAAGGACGCAGGTAAAAGGAACATTCAGCAGCAAGATTTTTAGGTTCCTAACATGCAGAATCAATTCTGGAGGTAGTTAAGTGGGTGATGCTTGTCTATGGCAATGACCAGAAAATAAAGTCTGAGAAACTCTTACCAACAAGGAAAATTAAAGACACTAACTGTAACATGGTATCCTGGGAACAGAAGAACACTGGTAAACTTGAAGGGCCTCCGAGTGAATGTGGATTTGGGCTAAGAATGCCGTGATTGTGCAGTGCGTGGGAGCCATGCATCTCCTGCAGTTACAGTCCCTCTCCTCTGCAAAGGAGGACAGCACGTTCATTCTGCATGACTCACGGCTTCAGAGAGCTGCCAGAGGGGCAGCTAGGAGTTGGTTTCCACTTGATGGCAAGGAGTTCAAGTTTTTGAGTTAGTTACTAATAATAGGTCAAGTACTGTTCATCACTTATGACAAATTTACCAAAGTACAACGAACTCCTTAGAACTGGCATTCAATGAGACTGCTGTGTTTTTCCAGGATTTGAGTATTTTCCACCTTTGACAAGGTACAGTCTAACTACCTTGACACAGCTCTCTACCACTGCCGTCACTTCGACTCCAGCTCACAGTGGTCCTACACAGGACAGAAGGGAATGGCCCTACAGAGTTTGCAGAGCTCTAATCTCTGGGAAAGCAGACATGTACACTTCTCCTTCAGACAGTGGCTGGTGGGTTTGAAGCACCTACCTTCTGTTAGTGCCGAGCACTCAACGAACCACTGTGCCACCAGGGATCCTCCTAACTATTAGTAGGAACACCTCGGCATTCCTTCTCTGACAGGTTTCTGCCTCACACAAGTTCCAGCATTCCCAGGTTTTACTGTACAGTGTAAGATGTTAGCAATACAGAAATCAAGTGGCAGGTATACGGTAACTAGACTATCTTTGCAACTTTTCTGCAAATCTAAGCAATTAAGAAAAAAAAACAAAACAAGAAACACTTATGAAAAAAGAGACATTGCCAGTGTCAGATGGATGTTGGCAGAAAGCAGAGAGTACCAGAGGAATGTCTATCTCTGTTTCATTGACTATGCAAAAGCATTTGACTGTGTGGACCACAACAAACTGTTGTTAACATTGAGGAATCCCAGAACACTTCATTGTGCTTATGTGAAACCTGTACTTGGACCAGGAATCAGTCCTCAGAACACAGCAGGGAAACACTGCATGGTGCAAACTCAGGAAAAGAGTGCGTCAGGGATGCATCCTGTTTCCATAGCTTTTCAATCTATATGCAGAACAGATTATTTGGGAGGCAAGGCCTTATGAGGAGGAATGTGGCACTGGGATTGGAAGACTCATCAACAACCTGCTTTATGCAGATGACACAACCCTGCTTGCAGAAACTGAGGAAGACCTGAAACACTTGTTGCAGAATGTAACGAACTGTACTCTTCAAAATGGATTGAGGCTCAACATCAAGATTCTCACCAATGGGCCAATTGACAGCACCATGATAGATAGAGATTGAGATTGTTAACAATTACAGCCTCGCTCGGCTCCACAGGAAATCAAAAGACAAATTCCATTGGGAAAATCTGCTGTCAGGGACCTCTCCAGAGTACTGAAAAACAATGATGTAAGTTTAGAGACTAAGGTACACCTAATCCAGGCCACGGTCTTAGAATTTATTTTATATACATCAAAGAGCTGTACACTGATTAAGGATGACAGAAGAAGAACTGATGCTTTCAAATTCGGGTGCTGGTGAAGAATCTTAAACATACCATGGACTGCCAAGAAAACAAGTAAGTCTGTTGGAGAGGGTGAAACCAAATTTCTCCTTGGAGGCTAGGATTTTTAAGCTCGGTCTCACATAGTTTGGGGACATGGCAAGACAAGACCTGTCCTTGGAGAACGACATCATGTTTGGAAGAGTGGCGGTACAGTGCAGGAGAGGGAGACCATGGATGAGATGGATTGACACAGTATTTGGGGCAATGGGAGTTAGTGTCAGAATTAGCAAAACTGGCTCAGGACAGGGCAAGGTTCAGAGCTGCTGTACATAGGGTCACTAGGATCACAGGAGACTTGATGGCACAATAACAGCAACAAATAAATAGGCACCAATCAGATTAGCTTTACTAAAGTAAAACATCCAATTAAATGTCTGTCATGTACAAATGAGAAATGCAGACATTAAAATACATGATTGCCTGTAAGGACAACAATGACAAACGAGTTCATTAATTAATAAAAACATCTTGTCCAAAATCTAAAAACCAAAGGTTACTCAGATAGGGAATGATGCTTTTCATAAATTTAAAACAAGACTTGAGACACAGAGAAATAATGAGAGGAGAATTCAAACAGGAAGAGACTCTTGTTTGTCTACCTTTTAGGACCTAAGACCAAATAAAAAGTGCCCAAACTCTTCTGTCCTCTTCAGTCAAGACAAAGATTCTTCACAAATGCACCACACAGACAAGGCAGGTAGTCTAGCAGCCTGAGAAGGCAAAAACAAACCCAGCTTGTGAGTTATCTCAAACAGGAGAAAATTATGCTCACTTTTAGCAAGTGATTCCTGGCAATAAGCCCTCACTTTTGACACTGTAAACAGAGGCCCTATGAATTTGTTCATGGTCAGAAGTCATCTCCTGGTACGGTGTAAGCACACTAATGGGATATGCCATCTTCCATGATGAAGACACATCTTTGTTAGCACAAAGGTCAAGGGCATCAACATTCTCACCTCCAGACAGCACTCAAACCCAGCCATCTGACCAGTGCTAGATCCAGCATTAATAGGCCCCAAACTAGCTCAGAGATTAGACGGAGAAACTGTCTAGCAGGCAACCCAGGAGAAATGCATTATCTCAACCCACTTCAAAGTTCTGGGCAAGTTCAACATTTACACACATATGCATGCACGTGCACATACACACTCTCATTGTTTCTCAGACGTGCAAATAATCTGATTTTAATGAGTCCCTGGGATGCATACAAAAAGCTATTAACACAGGACTTGTAGTCTGTGACCTCAGACCATGGTAGTAACGCCTGCCCACGTACTCAGGGCTCTCTATCTCCTATCCTGCTGTCATGCTTGTATTTGTCATTCCTAATTACATCAGTGGTAGTCCTTATGAACGATGCTCTGTGGTGCTAGTGGCACTTTAGAAAAGACTACCAATACCCAAATGTCATATGCTGTTGTTGACTGCCTACAACTCCTAGTGACCCTATGAACAAAAGGCCTGAAGCCTTTCTATAATTATCAACATTTATCAAAGCTCATAGAGTTTCCGGAGGCATGTTGTTTAGGAAGTGGATGCCACTCCTGCTTCCAAATGTCATATAAGACAAAGTAATTCCTAACACGGAAAAAGGTCTATTTGTCATCTCAATGTGGACATGCAGTGTAATAGAGGATTTCTGATTTGCTTCTGGTGGATAATCAATCTGCAAGATGTACGGGCCTTTCTGGAACACTGTGATACAGATATGGACCAGAAATCGACACTAGCTGGTCCAAAGACTATTTCTGAAGCTGAAATAATTGTTAAACAGGATTAGTATGAAATTAAGTGTTAAATATTAAGTTTAATTTCAAGAAATGTTTAGGGTATATCTGCTGCAATTCCCAATCTCAGAGGTACATGATGCCAGAGGTCCCCGAATGCGGCAAAACAGCTGCAGTTACCACGCACCTCAGAAGTCGATTACGTTCCACCTTCCCTAAGAGTACCTTGTTATATGCTTACCCAAACATTACTTGCTCTCTTCAGGACTAAGTAGTCTATTTGCAAGCCCCTGAAATGGCAGCCCCCAACAACTGTGCTCGTGTTCCTTCCATATCACTCAGAACAGTTAGCAGTAGACAAGTTCCCAGTTTGGAACTTTCTAAGCAATGAAAGATTAAGAAAACCAGCTTCTTAAAAAAAAAACCAGCTTCTTGATCGATAAGGGATAGCTAGGTCAAGGTAGTTTGGATTGTCTTTTAACTACTTATTCAGAGAAACAAAGCCCTGGTAGTATAGGAGGTTAAGTACTGGACCACTAACACAAAGGTTAGCAGTTCAAGTCCATTATCTGCTCTTCAGCAGAAAGGAGAGGCATCATCATCTAGTAACTTTTACAGCCTCGGTCACCAACAGTGGGAATTGAGAGGGTTTTGGTGGTTTTACTCTGAAGGGGGTAAAAAATCATACCCTGTGATTTCCAAAGGCAAGAATTGAAACATTTTCTAAGGGTGAATGTTCTGGTGAGCTTTTTCTGTTTACATTTAAAAAAACCCCAAACCAAACAAAACAAAACAAAAAAAACTAACTTAGTATAATGTTCTTAAAAAGCCAGGAACATAACTTTAGAAAACTCCAGGATTCACAGAATTCTTGCTTATGCCTTAAAATTTTTTCCAAATGACCCGATGTTTGGCCTTTGAACATACAAGACTGAAAGTAAAATCTTCAGAGAGCAGTAAAATGAGAGACAGCCAGACAACTTTTCCTTGGCATTCAGGAAATGTCAAGGGCAGGCGCCGCTCCCTTAAGAGCTTGACCTGTCTCACACATTTCTCAGCTCACTGATGAAGAGGTCTTTTCCTTTGCAACAGAAGTTAGAAAGGCACAAGATGGCTGTTATCTGAACAACAGTATCATTTTACAGAACTACGGAGCACAGCACATTGTACTCACCTTCCTCCTCCTCCTCATCGTCGCTCGACTCGCTGACGTGCACGCTGACAGCAGTGTTTGGAGAGTCTGTCCATTCAAAATACACCCCAAATCCAATGTCATAATGGTCTGTAGCAAACTCCCAAAAGAGATACGATCCTTCCTCGTGGGTGGGTACACGAACAGTAACCACTTCTCCTCGGCCCACAGAGATGACAGAATCTGCATCCTGCCGGATCTTCTCTTTAAAGTCTTTGATCTGGGGTCGTGTCCACATGGATGGTGCTGCTATTACTGGAAGAGAGTCTAAAGGCAACAGGAATTAGAGAAGCTAAAGGGGGCTGACTAGCCTTCACCTGCACGCACAGCATTTTTTTAGGACTGGCTGGCAGCAGCCCACAGATGCTGAGTGCAACACGTCCGACCTCAGGGCTACACATAGCCCTATAGAGCCCTAAAGCCTTACAATGAAGTAAGGGCTACGAGAAATACAAGGAACTCTGATGGCCGAGCGGTAAGAAATTGTGCTGCCAACCCAAACTCAGAGTTAAAAATCTGCCAGATGCTCTGTCAGGCAATCTCCTTCCATGTGATTAAGAGCCTCTGAAAACCCGCTATAGAGTCTGCTCTGAGTTGGTTCTGACTTGATGGCACACAACAAATAATGAAAAGGTTAGGTCTTTGGGTATGTGGCCAGGAGAGACTGGTCCTTGGAGAAGGACATCTTGTGTGGAAGGGTAGAGGGACAGCACAGAGAGGAAGACCCCAGATGAGATGGATTGACACAGTAACTGGGGCAATGAGAGTTGGTGTGTTGGAATCAGTGAAACTGGCTTAGGACAGGGCAGGGTTCAGAGCCATCGCAGGCAACTCAATAGCACATCACAACAACAGTAATTCTTGATGGAGGGAAGCAAAAAAAATGTTCTTTTCTAAAGTTATCTTTTGTCATGTGTATAAAAAGGTAAGGAAGAACTCGAAAACTAAATTTCCAATAAACTCTGCTACTTTCTCTGCCTGTCTTCATTACTTTCAACTCACACCTCTGCTCTCAGCCCAGCTGTGGCTTCTGTGACAGGAGGCATCCCCGCTACTGTGTGCTCTCCGAGACAATGATAAGCTGCACCAGCCTTCACACACTCACAGCACTTTCACAGTCTGAAGGGCAGTGGCAACCCTGCACCAATCGGGTCTATCAGCACCATTTTCCCAACAACCTATGCTCACTTCATGTCTCTCTCACATTGTGATAAATTGTCAGTATTTCAAAAATACTGAGATACTATTTCAAACATTTTCATAATGCTCCTGAACACTTCAAAGACTAGTATTGTATAAACCTAACTTTTCTATATGCTAGGAAACAAAAACTCAAAACTCACGAGACTTGCTGTATTACGACACTCTCATTATGTGGTGGTGTGGACCCCAACTCCCAGGTCTCTGATACAGATGTACTCTTTCTCCATCACAAAATTTAGGACAGCTATAAATGCCATTTTATCTGTCTTATTTTGCCCCACTACTATTGCCCTAGGGAACTCAACTGGTAAGAAACTGCACTGCAATCTTAAAGGCACACAGTTCAAATCCACCAGCTGCTATGCAAAAGAAAGATAGGCAATGAACTTTTGTGCAATTAAATGCCTCTGAAAACCAGCTGGAGCAACGGGGTTGGTGTGTTGGAATCAGGAGACTGGCTCAGGACAGGGCAAGCTATGGGTCAGTTCTGACTTGACAGTACAACAACAATATATCTCTAGTAAGCTTTCAAAAAATTGCTGAATGAATGAATGAATAGACTACTTAAGAAAAGTGTGTACAACTCTGAAAAACACTAAGTTCTCTTTAGTTTCAAAAAATACAATCTACTGGAGCTAGTGTCCATGATGGCAGTGAGTAATCCTCCACCGTAAGCACTCAGGGACATGTACAGGTTTGGCGTGTAGAACGAGCAAGGCAAAGCAGAAGTGAGGGGGCATGACTTCCAAGGTCAAATATTATCAAAGACATTGTTGCTTCTGCCTTGTTCTCTCTTGGAACATGTGTCCTGGGGGAAGCCAGTCATCATGTACTGAGGACAGTCTTATAGAAAGGCTGAAGGGACGAGGAACAGAGAGGTCTCTCGCCAATGGCTAGTATCAAATTGCCAGCCACCTATGAGACCATTGGAGGTGGATTCTGTCCCAGCAGGTATTCAGACAATTCACCCCCAGTGAGCATCCTGAGCACTATCTCATAATATACCCTGAGCGAGCTAAGCTTTTCTTCAACTCTGATCCACAGCATCTGTGATAATAACTGTTAATGGCTCTTTTAAGCCACTAAATCTGGGTTTAATTTGTTACACAGCAAGAGAGAATTCACATCCATAATAAGAAAATCCAGTGTCCAAAAGACACTGGACTGTGTCCTCTGCACTATTTTCAAGGCCACCAAATGCACCAAGATTCAGAATAAGAAGAGCCAAGAATGGCTCAGCTCTCACAGCGGCTGGAAGGACATGTGCGCCCAGCAGTACCTTTTGGTCCATTCTCCAGGGCTTCTTCCACAGCTTCAGGTTCCAGTTCCTTCTGTGAGTTCTCAGTGTGTGTTTTGGTTTGTCCATTAACTGACATCAAATCGCCTGGTACAGATGCATTTGCTTTTGAGGATGGAGACAAAGCTGCACCGGCGACTGCTACTTCCTGTTGCTTCTGCAGTGCTGCCTACAAGCCAACAGAAAGGGAAGATGCTATGACTGGAGTGCTAATAAGCAGAATGCCTGCCCTGGAGCCACCTTACACCCTTGCTGGGCAATGTGGTCCAAGAAATTACTCCTAAGACTTGATCAGTTTTGTCCTTTCTATAGAGTATAGGGAGAACTGGTGGCTTAGTGTACTGCCAATGCCAAGCTACGCAGTCCAAATCCCCCAGCTGGTCCTCCTCTGTGATTAACTGCTTCTGAAAACCTGCTGGAGGATCAACTGTAGGTTGGTTCCAACTTCACAGTACTCAACAATGTACTATGGACTGAAGTATCAAATAAGTATCTAAACAACAGCTAAAAATTGTATAGCAATACAGACAAAAAAACTAAACCAACTGAGGATCACAATTCTGTGACCTGAAGAACAGGAAAAGAAAACAACACAGAGCAAAATGAGACCAGGCAGATATAGAACCAGAACCCAAACCCAATGCTGCTGAATTGATTTCCACTCTCAGAAACCTTCCAGGACAGAGCAGTGCTGCCCACAGGTCTCCGGGGCTATGTACCTTCACAGGAGTGGACTGGTCCTGGTCCAAAGTGCTGAGCCACTGTGCCACCAGGACACTCTGTTGGCTGTTGTTGCCTCCACAAGATGTTAACAATCAATGTTAAATCAGTATTTTCCATTAATAATATTGCTGTGTGCCGCTGAGTCAATCCTAGCTCACAGCAACACCCTGGAGAGAGGGGAACTGCCCCATAGGCCTTCCAGACAAAAGATTTACTCATTCCAGGCTGAACTCTTCACACAAGCCTGTCACCAGGATTTTCTCCTGTGGAGATGCTGGGTGGGCCTGAACCACCAACATTTCAGTTTGCAGACAAGTGTATACCCACTATCCCACCAGGGCATCTTTCCACGACATTGGTAGGAGCCTCAAGGTGATTCTGACTCACAGAGACCCCATTTACAGAAGAGAACACCCCACAGTGCTGTTACGGGAGCCCAGGGCTGCAGAAACCATGTCCATCCACCTCACTATCCTCCTCTTTTCAGCTGACACTACTTTACCAGAATGATAGCCCCTCCAGGCTCAAAGCACAGGAAACGAAGTTTTGCCACCTTGGGACTTTAATTTTCTCTCTCATTCTCATATATTGGGAGAAAAGACAAAGATCAGAACAGGAGGTAACTTTTTTTTTTTTTTTTAACTTGAAAAGCAGTTTTACTTAAACGTTGCAAAGATCTTTCCCAAAGCACTTACAGCAATTTATATCAAGAAATCCTAGGTTTAGGCGTGTGGCGGAAACGATTCACTTTTTTGCAAGGTAGAACTGTCACCTTTTCCATGATTGTAATTGGTCACTTCCCCCTCACAGACCTAAGCT